GAGGGACGCACGGCTGGGGACCGCGGGAGCGGACAACCGGGAGGACTGGCCTGAGCAGGAGGGAGGGATGGGACGGGAAGCGAGGCGACTCAGGACTGGCACGCGTGGCGGGGGGCGCAGAATGGGGGCCGGTACGCGCAGTGTTCCGAGTCTCACTCAGGATGGAGGAACCACAGGCGCAGCTCGGATTTGGGAAATGAAGGTTAATTCAAAGGCGTGCACCGTGCCGTCTCCCAGCCTGCTCTGCTCCTCCGATCTCCCAGAGCTCTGTTGGGGACGTTAAGGATTCAGTACTGAATCCTTGAGGCAATTCTGCGAGGAACGGACTACTTATCTCTGCTTGCAAACTGGCAGCCGAAGACTCAGGTTTAAATTATTTAAGGTCACATTGCAAATATTACTAGCGGAGAATGGATTTGAACCCGGCCCTCTGTGACGGCCAGCCTGTGCACGTCCTCCCTCCTGGAACCCTGTGGGGCTCACCTCATCCGGAGGCCCTCGAACACCCGGGTTGGGCCGACCCGTGCCCCCAGCACCCCCGTCCCCCATCTTCACCAGGGCGGCGTGAGGGGTTCGACTTGTTTTTCTGCAGGGAAATTGCCTTGGCGCTCCCATCTCCCCGCGGGGGGCGGGAGGAAGTGGGGACAAGATCATTTTCCAGAACAGAGTTTCCGAAAAGCAGGCGTAACCCACTCGTGGGTCATGTCTTGTGGGTCGACACCAATATTTTAAAAAGTAGCGTTTCGCACAAGGCACGTGTAGGTTTTGTTTGAGAACCAGTTTTTTTTCAGAGGGGTGTGTGTGTGTGTGTGTGTGTGTCCTGAGCTGTAACTTAAAGGATCGTTCTGACCCCTGCTCTGGAGCGCGCTGAGAACACGCCCTCGGCACGGCCTGGGGGAGTGGTGGTTGGAGGGGAGACTGCCTCCGTCCTCTGTTACCTGGAGCTCCACATCCGACCTCCGCGACCTCTTCCAGCGGTGCGCTGCCTGCAGAAGGCTGCTGAACCTTCCTGGACTGGTGGCTCCTCCGTATGTGCGTGGCCCCTAGGGGAAGAGGCATCCTTGATCCTACAGCCTTGTCGCCGAGAAGTCCGTGTCCCAGGGGCAGGGTACAGTGAGGTGACTGGACTTTCTGGTCCTCCAAACCGGCCTCCGTGCAGTGGGATTCCCGCGTGGGTACTTAGGGGCAGGAGCTGTTGGATCCCTGATCTGGCCACGCCCCAGATTCCCGCATTCTCTCACCCATTTCCTGCTGCTAATTCGTATGCCCTTGCTGGAACACCCTTTCCCTTGTCCACCCGCGGACTTCTTGGCAGCCTACAAAAATACTAGAGATGCCTGTCCAGCTGTCCAGGGAAGCATTCCAGGAACACCTGCATGCTGACTTTGTTCCTCTTCCCTGTGCTCCCATATAATCGGGTGCCAGGGCTCTTTATTGTGGCTCTCTTTTCAAATAGAGTTTCTTGCTTATTCCTCCATCAAACTTACCTGGCAACACCTGGGCTTCCCTGGTCCATCTGTTCAACCCATTTCCTACCCCAAATCCCCAGGTTGGTTCTGGAGCCCTTCACAAGGCTGTCACCGGATCCCCTCTCTCCCCTCCCCCTCTCTCCCTCCCTCCCCACCATCCTCTCTGAAGTTTCCCTCCTTCCTACAGAGCCAGAGCACCTGCTTAGAAATGGCAGCAGCTTTCCTTGGCAAGAAGCTCTGCCCAGCTCTCTCAGGCTGTGGGCTTGGCCAGGTCGGAGCGCCGGGCCCTGAGGAAGGGGCTGCTGTCATTGGCTCTGAATCTCTGCCCATGGAGCCAGGCTTTAACAGCTGCCCTGCCAGGCCTGGAGGGCATCCGGGGCTCTTCTGTGGATGCCTGGGTGCCCGCTGGGCCTGCCTTTGTCTTGTCCTTCTGCAATCTGGGCTCAGGCCCCAATTCGCAGTGTGGGGCTGTCCTCAGGGGTCTGGCCAGGTGCCAGGTACTGGGGAGAGGCCTGCCCCGCCCTTGGGATGCCCACGTCCCCAGGGTGGAGACAGCTACAGCTGTGAAGAGAGACAGACCAGTGTGCCAAGGGGTACAATGGAAGCCCCAGGCAGGAGGCCCCACTCCACCTGGTGAGAAGAAAAGACTTCCCAGACGAGCCAGCCGTGGGCTCAGCAGCCTCCATCCGAGCTCTGGTGTTCTCTCAGAAGCACAGAACGCTGGCAGTGGCGGGAGCTCACAGCAGCATTCAGATGCCACAGCTCTGATCCTCACCCTGGGCTCCACAGACGTCTCCAGGCTTTTCCGAGTTCGTATCAGGAGTCTGGCTCACTTACTTTTTGCCCGTTTCCAGCCAAATAAAAGCTCCAAAACATTTTATCAGCAAGGCCAGCCTGCCTGAGGTCCTTGGCTTAGCAGATCTCTTAACTGTACAGTGGGCATATGGGATTTGAGACGCGGTCAAGCCCAGGGTACCTGGTGTCCGTGCTTTATCTTCACTTCTTAGAGCAGTGCTTTAACCCACCACCAACTCCTACTACAGCTCTTTTCTCTTTGAAGGGACGCTGGCCTCATACTGGTCCAGTCAGACCTGGGTCCTCCTCCCGACCCTACCTCTTCCTCATTTACCCTTGGGCAAACGTCTTCGATGCTCATGCCCGTTTGTGGGTGTAAACTGGGCCTCAACGGGGTTTCCCTCGTGGGGTTGTAAGAATGAAATGAAGACCAAAATTTCACTCCCCATCGTGTCCCCGATGCCCATGATCAAAGACCTGCCAGCACGTCAGATTCTTATCAAATGTTGGCCAGAAGTTTTAGCTGCTAATTAGGTATAAAATTTGAGAAATCTGTTCCTATGAGTTGACCTCTTCCCAAAGGCTGGCCAATCTTAATGTGAACTTTTGTGAACGCAGCTAGAACGCATCCGACGGTGTGGTGAGGAAGGGGATACCACTGCAGAGGTCAGAAAGGTTGGCGATTTGGCCATCCAAGCTGGGTTCTGGAACACCTCACCTACCGAGAGGTGTATTGGTGGGGATGTTCGTGCCCAGGCTCTGCCTGCATCTGCACCAAATGGAGCCGCCGCTAATGTTCCAGTTGTCAGTGTCGTCTTGGTAGAAGGGTCCCTGTTTCCAGACCAGTGACGCCCCCAAGGTGCCAAGGATCGAGGTTTATGTCCTCTTGGACGGTGCAGCATTGTGGCAGTATGGACAGGCCTTCCCTTCCTGGGAGTTTCATTTTTGCCCCAGGTCTCCTCTTGTATTTTCAGCGTGAGTTTTATGTAAGACTTGTAGCCAGTGGGGACTTTGTGAGAGACAGCAAATCACTCTTTTGCTGCGCAGCAGAGCCACGAGTGGAGTCAACGTGCTGGTGGCTCCAGAACCCTCAGCCTTGTACACGGCCGGCTTTTTCTCAACGCCACACAGTCCGCAGCTCCCCAGGCCTGGAAGAGGGGCAGATTTGCTTTTATCAGGGGGTACACACAGCCCTTCCTTCTCAAATATTAACTGTAACCCTCAAAATAAGCATTCATTCCTCTAGCAAGGCTGGTTAGTATGTTGACGTGTGTTAACCCTCCTTAGCTATTACATTTGGGGGAAGTCAAGCTGGGGACTCATGCAGCACGGATGTCCCAATTTCTGTGGTAGCACTGAGAGCCAGCAAGTGGCTCTGCCTCGTCTCAGCTGTGTGACCTTGAGAAATCACTTGTGTCCCCGTCCCCTCATCTGCACGTTTGAGATAATACTAGATGAGGTAACTTCATAGTTTCAAAACACCATTTTAAGTATCATCTGCATTAATACAGATGAAGCACCTAGAATGGTGCTGGGCACATAGAAGGTGTTCAGATAATGAGGGAAGATGATGAGGACAGATGGGATGATGAAGGTCCCTGTCCTTAAGGAGCTTATATAGCCTCGTCATCTTGTCCAACACAGAATCGAAGGAAGGCTCTTTCACCTGCCAACTGGGATGGCCAGTGTTCTTGCTGGCCAACACTTGGGTGATGGGGAAATAAAAGACTCAGTTCCTTTTGTGTTGTTTCTCTGCTCCCCACACTCCTTGTCCCAACTGAAACTGTGCCGTATGGTATTCTGAATCCATAATGTGGTTATTTTGGGGTTTAATAATTCACGTAACTTGCCCAGCCCAAGAGAGCACAATTTATAATTCAGATCTTCCAACAGCCACACACTTTCCCCACCCCAGGCATACGCATATGTCTGTGTTTACTGGTGGGGGCAGAAGGAAGGAGCTGTATGTAAGTATGAAAAGAAATAAGAGAAAAACAAAACTTAAAAAACAACAACTGACAAAGGTCATGGTCTCTCCATTTCTCTTTTAATACTGAACAGTATTCTTTGTACAGCTGTAACATGATTTCAAGAGCAGAAATAAGAAACATTACTGATAGACTTCAGGGTGTAAAAATACCACTTTGAAAGACGGCTAGTTGAGATTTTTCTTACGCAAGTATTTTTAAAAAGTTTTCAAGTTTATAGTGTCATCAGTTTGTTTAATGTCAGGATTACGATCAAAGCTATGGAAGAGGTTTTATTATGCAGGGATGGTTTACTGTAGCCTAAATTCCATGATGCAGGAGCAGTGATTCTGAAACTACAGTGGGCAGCAGAATCCCCTGGAAGGCTTGTGAAACACAGCCCACTGGCCTCACCCCCAGAGTCTGTGATTCGGCAGATCCAGGTGGGCCTGAGAACCTGCATTTCTAGCAAGCCAGGGGCCATGCCGCCGCTGCTGGTCCCACACCACACTTGGGAGACCCAGCCTGTCGAAAGAGCAAGAATGTATCTACCTGTGGAGGGGCGTGTAAACTGGCACCAGGGCTACTGGGCTCTTCTCGTGGGGAGGAAGGGGGGGTGCGCACCATCTGGAAATCACCCAGGCATTTTAAATTCGAATCCTTGATCTCATGTCTTTAGTTTGTGCCTTCTGGTTATTTAAAAATAAAACACCGTAGGTTATGTATCCTTGGAAGAAAAATACGACAATTTAGTCCTGCTGAGTGTTGCCACGTATTACACATTCGATTTTTTCATCACACTAATTTCTGATTACAAATGAGCCAGTGAGAGCCGATCTCCACTTAACACAAAACGAATCCACAATCATTTACAGCTTGCGGTCTTTGGCCCTTTCCTGGTTTCCAGGCCACCCTCACCCAGGGCATTCTCCTGGGTCAAGTTAGGACACACCCACATCAAGCTTACAGGTAAGTTCTAGTAACTTCTTAGTGGGAACACCTGGCTGGCCTCTCCCCACCCTGCAGACTCTCTCTTTTCCTGAGGACTAGGA